TCTCTTTCTCTCTCTCTCCCTCTCTCTCTATTTCTTTCTCTCTCTGATCCTGATAATAAAATGGGACCCATACACACAAACATCTCATCAAAAAGCGCTTATTGATTTTAAAAAAGCAAAAACAAAACAAAATAATAAATACATAAAATAAAAAAAACAAACAAAAAGAATGAAAGAAACAAAAATCGAAAACTAAAAATGAGACAAAGAAATGTAATCTTAAAAAGCAAAACTAAAAAAACCCAACTGATTTTTAAATAATGTATTTTTAGCGTTAAGCAAAGAAACGACAGCCAACCCTAGCTTAGCACGCTCTTATTATTAAGGCCGTATGCAGCTGTGAGCGCCGCAAAACTCTTACTAAAACAAATTAAAAAACAACCCTAGCTTTAATATGAATTTTTATCACACGTTACCAAAACCGAACACCATAGTTATCGCTCTGTATTATCGTCTCACAGCACAGCTGATGATGAAAGCATAGCGCTCCAGGTAAACGCCAGCCATGCTTAACGAGCGTCCACGTAAGATTACGCAAGCAACGGTAACTGACCCCCCTTCCCCTCCCTACCATCTGTCCAGACGTCCGACATGCCCAGTCTTGATCTGACCGGTACTTAGTAGAGCTTGAGCTTGTTTGTACTGGCGGAGGCTAGATTTAGTACAGCCACTTTCTTTATGGGTCAGTCGGCGGATAACGTTCCCACAGTCAATCCTATTACATGTATAATAACAATTAATGTTATTATCATTGTTCGCCAGCTGTTCAAATCTACTAATCCAAAGCCCAAAAACTTAGATTTTTTTATGGCCTCGTTTTTTTTTATTTGATTTCTTTTTTTTAAATTTCAGTTTCTTGATGTGTTGCATCGGTCGCATGTGACCGAGACATATTATTATTATTATTTTGTCTCAATCTCTTTTGTTGTTGTTGTTGGGTTTTTGTGTATGAGTTTGACTGCATAAGGTTGTCTAAATCTAAATTCTAAATGTTGAAAAAAAAGACACGAAAACGTAGTAAATAATGTAGGTACAACTGATTGATTTATTGTTTATGAAACAATCTTTCGTCTTTTAAAAAACATTTATGTACTTTCTGAGCATAAAACATTTGTACCTTTTTTTTTTGGGGGGGGG